GGAGGGGGGGGAGGAGGAGGAGGAGGAGGAGGAGGAAGAAGAAGGAGAAGAAGAAGAGGAGGAGGAGGAGGAGGAGGAAGGAGGAGGAAGAAGAAGAAGGAGATGGAGAAGAAGAAGGAGAAGGAGAAGGAGAAGAAGAAGAGAAGGAGGAGGAGGAGGAAGAAGAAGGGGAAGAAGGGGAAGAAGAAGAGGAGGAGGGGGGAGGAGGAAGAAGAAGGAGAAGAAGAAGAAAGCAAAAAATTAAGTTAATTTATCTTTCCCCAAACCCATCCACTCCACTCAGGTGTGGATATCAAAATATGGCTGAGCAGTAGAATCTCGAGTATGAACTCCAATGAGTTTTTCGGGGATTGTTATTAGGTTTATGAACTGGATTGATTTGTTTATTGCAATTGTTTTTCTTTACCATGGATATATTGTATAATCTTGCTGCAAGGTACAGCGAATCTTAATTATTTGGTGCAGTATAAAAGTATAATTAAGACTGCTATTAGTTATGGCAATGATAACAACAAGAACAGTAGGCAAATTATGTCATTTGCATTATTTGCAGGTGCCTAGCGTATTTCCATATTTACGCAAGACTTAATTACTTCGAATGCTACCATTTAAACAGCAATAGCAATAGCATTGTAAAAAGCATGACATTATTAAAATGACAGCATAAGTTGAGATTTATAAACACATGTAAATAAGTCATGCTTTGATGAAGCTTTTTGTCTGAAACAAAAGTGATTCTGCGCTATTAACATACTTAATGCAAAGGCATTCAGCTAAGCAGATCTGAAGAAATGACTTGCCTTTATTATTAATGTTAAGTTAAATCAGTATCATTAATTAATGATTCAATTAATAACACTGAATTGGGGGTTATTGGACTATATCTGGAAGGTCACAAATAATCAGTGGCTGAAGCGGAAGAATAATTTTCAATCTGTAATTTTCAATCTATAATTTTCAATCAATAATTTTCAATCTGTAATTTTCAATCTGTAATTTTGAATCTGTAATTTTCAATCTATAATTTTCAATGTATAATTTTCAATGTATAATTTTCAATCTGTAATTTTCAATCTATAATTTTCAATCTATGTTCAACTCTTAATTGTCACCCCAAATATCAAAATTGTCTAGAAATTGGGGTAGGGAACAAGTGGGGGGAGGAGGAAGGAAAAAAACCAGAAAGGAATATTTTGATATAAAAACCAGTAGAACAAAGTTCTCTCATCACTTTATGGAGAAAAGAAAGGGTAATCAACTCAGAAGGGAAGCAGAGTTTTGAGGACTTATTTATGCTCTTGGATTTTTTTGACACTCCCTTACATCCCTTCGTCCCCACCGAATCAAGGACTCTGGGGCTAGCCGAGCTAGGATTTACCTCTGTGGCTTCCACCGGGATGCCTTCTTCTCCTATCCCAGCAGGTTGGTCTTCGTGTTGATTGGCATGAAGTTCCTCCTACAGAACACACAAGAACAGACCAAAGTATCACCAGATGCCACAAAAGACCAGAAGTTAGGGTTCCCATTCTGGCTAGCTTCCAGATGTGTAAATGTGTGTTAGATTTTGGCAGCAGGAATTCAAACCCAGAAAGCACACACAGAGATGTCAGCAGGATTCATTACCTTCTTTATATACATAATAATATGCGTACAATGTACAATACCAATAGTAGATTCTTCCAATGTAACGCAAGCAAAACAGAAGCAGCAGCTTCAGAGCTCAGAGCAGAAAGGTTTTCAGTTTAGAGCGGAGAGCACAGAGCTAAGCCACACCCAGACTACTTCTAGTTTTACTTTCCAATTCAGCTGCCATTGGCTAGTCTCTTGCCATGCCTATTCATTGCCTGACTCTGCTACTAAGCTGTATTCCAGCTCATGAATATACTCTCACAATGTGTATGGAGATTCTCAATCATCCAAGTCATGGTTGTCCCAAAGGTGCTTTTTCAAGAGGCAACTGGACTTTTTGTTTTTTTCTTTGAAGATGTTTCACTTCTCATCCTAGAAGCTTCTTCAGCTCTCACTGGATGGTGAGTCCTCACCCATCCAGTCAGAGCTGAAGAAGTGTCATGCCCTTGTTGGAGTCTGATTCTGAGGGGGAGATTGAGGAGCTGACAGGGAGTGGGAGTATGGCTCCGGTGGCTGTGGAAGAAACGGGGAAGAGCACAGTCCGGCTGAGCAGGGAGGAACGGAGAAGGGAGCAATGTGGCTTACGGGAGAGGAAAAGGCCCTGATCCCTTTCATTAGTTGCAGCTGGGAGAACAGGATATAAGAGGAGCATTTTAAATAGCTCTTTGCTGGAAGCAAAGCATGCTTTATCTTGGTTGAGGCTTATCTGGGTTTTGGCATTCTCCCAATTGTGGTTGCTGCGTTATCTTGTGGAAGTCTGTAAATTATCATCCTGGCCTGCCGTATTAATGACTCCAGTGTGGTTTGTGTTGGTTTTTTTATTTCTAATTATTTTTTACTTTTGGTTTGGACTGCATTTACTCTCTTTATAGACTGTTTTTGGAAGAATTTGATATCGTTGATGATAATTGGACATTGGGGCCCAAGTTGGAGGCATTAAAGGAAATTTATTCTACTTGTGTGACTGTGTTATTTTTGTGTCACGCCCCAGGTCATCACAAGAAGCTTCTAGGATGAGAAGCAAAATGTCTTCAAAGAAAAAAAAAACAGAAAGTCCAGTTGCCTCTTGAAAAAACACCTTCCAGATGTGTATGGACTACAGTTCCAAGATTGCTCAGCAAGGGTTGAGTGCATACATCTGGAACCAAATGCTGGACTGAGAGGACCCATGAAGACTGTTCTTCTGTCCAAAAGGACCAGGCACATAGCCTTTAAAGACTAAAAGTCTTACTCAAGTTGAATACTATTTGCTATATCACTCAGTGGCCCCTTCTGTTTTTCTTTGGTGCAGACATACAATCAGTGCAAATATAATCTTCCATCCCCTCCTTGCTGAACTTCAAACTTGGTTTTTGGCCATTCCTCTGGATACAAACTGGTCTCTTGATTCCTTCTGGGTTGGTTTTTTTAAAATTTTCTTTCCCATACGACTACATGGAGTTAATTGTTTAAATTTAGGGGTGTAAACTAGGAAAGCAATTGATGTAGCTCTTTCCCTTACAATTCCCGGTCCTGCCTCCTCGCCAACAATTTATCCATGGATGAAGGCAAGCAAATGTTTAGATACAAACAATTGTCTGTCTGCTTCCTTGGCCAGGAGGAAAACTTCAAGCTCATCTCTAATTATGAATGGTGGCTTAAGAATCACATCCTCTGTTTGTTTCTCTTGGATCTGCATCCCTCATCATGACTTCATGCCTCTGACTCATTTTCTATTTTTAACCAGGCAGGAAAGGAGCATCTTGAGATCTTGTTTCTCCTCTTTTCTTTCTGAACTGGAGCACAATTACAGGAAGAAGACGTGTTGGGCTGTGTGTTCCTTCTCTCCCCAAGCAATATAAATTTGACAACTTTGATTTATTGAAAGGCGCAAAACCTGGATGCCGCAACTCTCAAAATCAAGAACGCTGACCCAAAGCCAACCAGCCTAATGTGTTAGAACCGTCTCATTTTTCAGAATACTCCCTACTCAACCAAAAGATAATTTTTTTTAAAGAAATTTTATTGATTTTTTAAAAGCAAACATAAACAAACAAAACATAAAACTTAAAAACATAAAACATCTTTTTTGAAAGCAGCTTGATCCCGGGTTACATCTCTTCGTACAGACACAAATTCAGAATTTGTGTCTGTACCAAATCTGAATTTGTGTCTGTACCAAAAGATAATTTCTGGGCATGGAATCCTATGCCTAGTAATGAATTTGAAAAACTTTTAAAGAATTCCTATGAGATTAGAGGTCCTTCTCTAAATAGTTTGTCATTTTGTGGAGGGAAGTTATTCTTGGTCCCTAAACTCCAGCATCAAAGTCCATTGTGTTTCTCTTGATGTTCCACAGAAATGTTTGTGGACTCTCTGTTGTGCTTATCAATGCCCCATAACTGGCTTTGGTGGAAAATGAGATGTTGCACTGGAGGTCTTCAAAATGAACCCTAGCTGGATCTCTATATATTCTGTTGTTCCTCATTTTTGAGGTACATTTGCTGTATCTACTGCCTACTTTACAGTTCTTAATGGGTAAAATTAACCTTTTGGTCATTGAATTGAATTGAATTTTTTATTGTCATTGTACGTATATACACAGTATACATACAACGAAATTCACATAACACCCAGAGACCAGATTCAACAGGCGCATACACGACAATCCCCAAACACCTCCCCACCTGCCTATATTCCCCACTCCCTAAAAACACACAAGCATCCACACAACAGACCAAGTAATACTGTCCAACAGCTCACTGATGGTGGTCCTTAAGTTCATTGTTAAGTGCAATTATAGCTCTGGGATAAAAACTATTCAGAAAATGTGTGGCCCGAGTTTTAATTGTTCTGTATGTTCTGCCAGAAGGCCACAGTTCACAAAGTTTGTAAGCAGGATGGGAAGCGTCTCTGAGAATGTTGTGCAACTTCCTCAAATAAGTTGGTGACTTTGAGAAGGGCAGGTTCACTAAGATATCTGGTCAGGGGTGGGATTAAAAAATCCCAGCAACCGGTTCGCTGCCCAGTTGCTGGGTGGGTGTGGCCATGGTGGGTGTGGCCTGCTGGAACTTCCAGGAGGGCCATTTTTTTGCCTTCTCCAGGGTCTGAAGGCTTTAGACAGGAAATTGGAAGGCATTCCACTTCTTGAAATCTACCAGCTTAAGATTTCTACTTTCTTGGAATTTCTTGATTGGGTAAACAAGTCACACGCAACATTTACAGCCTTTTTCAATGGGTCTGTGAGGGGAAATAACTATTTAACTTCCACCCATACCTGGCAGTTTTCTACCTGGCAACCTTTCCCTTTCACTGGTCTAAAAGCCAGAAAAAAAAATCTAATTAAGAGGTAGGAAGGATGCTGTGGCAGAAGGTGAAAAACCCCATTCAACTGGATGGTTTTCCCCAGCAAATATCAGCACCTCCTACACTGGAGTTGTTTCTCACACAAAATGTTAGGAACATGATAAGGCAGGAGTCTTCCAACTTGATAGCTTTAAGACTTGTGGACTTCAGCTTCCAGAATTCCTCCTCTAGTCATGTTAACTCAGGAATTCTGGAGTTGAAGTCCACAAGCAGGGGTGGGATTCAATTTTTTAAACAACTGGTTCTGTGGGCTTGGCTAGGTAGGTGTGGCAATGTGACTGGGTGGACGTGGCTTCTTCTTTTTTTGCAGCACCCCCTGCCCACCCTGGTGCCCCTTTTTGCCTTCTGGGCCTCAGGGACGCCTCCTGGGGGAAGCAGTAAGACAGAGAGTGGGATCCTGGCACAGCTGATCATTGGAACAGCTGATCGTCGGGAGGGGAAAATAGCTTAAGGAGTGACTGGGCGGGGGAGACCACAGTCAGTGATGTCATACATGCGTGATAAGGACTGACTGGGAGGGGAGGGATGGGCCCAGCTGGGGCACGATTTGCTGGTTCTCTGAATTGTGCAGAATCATAACAACCGGTTCTATAGAACCGGTCCAAACCGGTAGAATTCCACCCTGTCCACAAGTCTTAAACTTGCCAAGTTTGAAGACCCTCGTGATAAGGTCTCATTGGTGGAAATATCACACCTACCTTGCTGACCAGACCACTGGTGGTTACAACAGTCTCGGCTCCTTCCACTGTTTGCTTTGCCACTGTGTTGACGCTGGCCACCACACTGTCTCCCACAAGATTGGCCTGTTCTTTGGTCTTCTCAGCAACTGTAGTCGAAGCAGAAAGAAGCTGAGAGGATGATTCACGATAAGGTGGAAGTCCCACTTCTTCAGATGTCATTGGAAGCTACTAAGATTTTTGGAACCCAAGTCTGGGAGTCTTAAAACTAGCATTATTTTTGGTGATCTCCACAAGCCCAAAAGTGTGTGGGGGAAGATTGTTCAGCCCTCATTGTGTATTTGCTGGAATTTTGAAGGGGTTTTATGCCCACCCCAAAGACATGTCCAGTCTGCACCCATTTTCAGAATATAGAATGGCAAAGCCCAAAAAATGAAGTACAGAAGAAGAAGCTGGCTGGAGGAATTCTGGGAGTTGAAGTCCACAAGTCTTAAAGTTGCCAAGTTTGGAGACCTCTGAGTTAGAGAGATTCTAATGGATCATTTCCTCTCTCTGCCTTAGGATAAGCCAAGATGCTTTCCTTTTTCTGATGCCCAAAGAGATGTTTCAAGACCTCCTTGTTCTCTCCATCAATCATTTCCTTCTAGGACCATATGCTGGGAATTATTCCACAAACATGTGGCAAACTGTTTTGTGGTTTTGCACAAAGTGAAAGTGTAACTTTTGTCCACAAGCATAAATATGGGCCTTGGAAAAGAAACTGAAATGGTTTCTTTTCCAAGGATTTTTAGCCAGAAAATGGCAGGTAAATGTTAGCTCATGTTCAAGATTCAGCCACAAAATAATTGGCTTCCATCTGGTTTCTCTTGATGTGCAAATCCATTGGGGTTATAACTTTGTTTTCTCTGTAAACTAAAAATAAATCACATTGTAGCATAATTTTTGTTTGCTTTTGCTTTTATTGATTGACTGCAGCAAAGAAAGACAAAGAAAAAACTTGTGCAGAAAGAGAAGGAAAGAAGAAAGAAAGAAAAGAAGGAGGAGAATAAAAAGAAGAAAGAAAGAAAATAAGTTTATTGACTGACTGAAGCAAAGAAAGACAAGGAAAAACTTGTAAAGAAAGAAAGAAGAAAGAAAAAGAAAAGGAGGAGGAGGAGAAGGAGAAGGAGGAGGAGGAGGAGAAGAAGAAGCAGAAGAAGAAGAGGAGGAGAAGGAAGAGGAGGAGGAGGAGGAAGAGGAGGAGGAGGAAGAAGAAGAAGAAGAAGAAGAAGAAGAAGAAGAAGAAGAAGAAGAAGAAGAAGAAGAAGAAGAAGAAGAAGAAGAAGAAGAAGAAGAAGACAGAAACAAAATTTTATATGGGATACATTTTGCAAATATACAAGTTGTATAATAAACATTTCATGGAACAATGGCCACATTTCATTACAACCATCCTTTGATAATCTATACTGATAACTGATTCCTCCAAAGCAAACAAAAAATATACTAATACCATCAACACTGGCAGACCTGGTGATACTGGGCCCTTATCTCCCTCTTTCCAATGTTGAAGAAAAAGCCACACTGGAAGAACATTCATCATATTAGTAGATGGATCAATTTTTGGAAAATAAGTGAAGTCCCTTGCATTTATGCCATACATGGGTATAGGAAGACAGAAGAGGACATCATTAATTTAAACCAGAAAACCCAAAAGCAACTCCATTGGGCCAACTTTTGTGTAGCTCTTACCGGAAGTCACACTTTGAACCACTCCTTCTTTGGTTTTTGTGCCTGCAAAGAGAGGGGGGAGAGAGAGAGAGAGAGAGGGAGGGGGGGGGGGGAGGGAGGGAGGGGGAGGGAGAGGAGAAAGGAGAGAGAGACAGAGAATAATTGATCAGTTTTGCTTTCAAAAACCATCCATTAAGATTTGCAGTGCTAGAGCAGCTTAGCAGAGAGTGAATCACCGGATAAAAAGGTCTTCAGTTTCCTTCTTTCGAGATGAATGTAGCACTTCAGACAAGTGGCCAGTTGAGTATCCATTCAAATACAAAGCCCACCAACAAAACAAGAGTTCAGGTGCAGCTCTTTTTCGTAATTCTTGCTGGGGAAGGGAGAAAAAGTTAGTAGGTAAATGGCCAAGATTACACATCAGTGCTCGACTTGGGTTGGTGGACAACGTTTTTCTACTCAAAGGGTTATTAGTCCCCCAAATTTGATTTAAAGTCAAGAACGGTTACAGGAACTGGGCTTGGCTAGTCTAGTGAAGAGAAGGACCAGGGGAGACAGGATAGCAGTCTTCCAATGTTTGAGGGGCTGCCACAGAGAGGAGGAAGGGGGTCAAGCTATTTTCTAAAGCACCTGAAGGCCAGACAAGGAATAATGGATGGAAACTGAACAAGGAGAGATTCAACCTGGAAATAAGGAGAAACTTTTGGACAGTGAGAACAATCAACCCATGGAACAGAAGTTGCCTTCAGACGTTGTGGGAGCTCCATCACTTGAGACTTTCAAGAAGAGATTGGACTGCCCTCTGTCAGAAACGGTGTAGGATCTCCTGCTTGGGCAAAGGAGTGGGTTGGACTAGATGATCTATAAGGTCCCTTCCAACTCTGATTATCTGTTATCTTGTACATTTTAAGATGGGAAGAGCAAGGATCTTGGGCCACTACTAGCCTCTGGTCAGCAGACAGGAACAAGCAAACACATGGATAGATAGAATTCTTTATTGGCCAAGTGTGATTGGACACACAAGGAATTTATCTTGGTGCAAATGCTCTAAGTGGACATAAAAGAAAAGATACATTCGCCATCTTCCTCTACCTTGGCCATTATTTTCCTAATTCATCCCTGTAAAGCCATCTCATGCCCAGTCAGCCTGTCCTCGTTCTCCTTCTTGTGCATGTGTGTGAAATATTCACGGCCATCCTACGGGATGGTCTGAAGCTTGTAGAGCTTCTAGTGGCACCCATGCTTCTGCTATTAGCATCTCTGCATCGGTTCACAGGATTTCGAAGACAGCACACTTTCCATTTCATGGTGGTTGTTTTTTTTTTAAATGAATGTTTAGGGAAAGATGCCACCAAGGTGATGAAGGAAAAGAAAGGAGAACATCCAAAGAAACGCTCTTGCAAACCTGAGCTGCACTGCAGTCAAATTCCTTCCGGTCATTCAAATAAAAAAAGGGGAATTAGGGCTTAGTTTAGATCGGGGGGGGGGGGAGGGGGGGCTGCATGCAACCATCCTTGACTTAGGTTTTTGGCTCAGACATCATCATCCAGATCATCTTTAAAAGCAAGCAGAAAAGGGGCGGCTAATTCCCCTGGGCTGACTTGGCATGGCGTTTGCACAAAATCTCATTTTTTTTTAATTCTGCAGATTCTTAGGCCTGAGAAGGTGGCCAGAAGTTCCCAGTTCCTTAATTCTAAATTCCTGTCTCTTGGATCTCTCTCTGGTTAGCGATTGTTTTAGTTCTAATAGAAGCAGACAATGCGGGAGTCCTTGGCAAGCAACATCTGTTTGATCCTTGCCACTGTCCTCTCTCGTTGCAATGACTCGACATTATTGGAGCTTGTTTATAGTCAACAGGAGTCACGGGGTAGAGAAGGGGGAGGCTGGGAGAACACAGGGGAAGAAAATCTCATAAAGGCAAGGAGATCTTCCCTGCTAATGAACTGCAAAACACAGTGCCAAATTTGAGCAGTTGGTGCCAGGGACTCTCGCCTGCTAGATTTCCAGTCTGGAAAAAGGATTCACAACATCGAATGTCAATCAGGCTGCAAACATTATTTGCCTTTATTGATCTTTTGCTAAGAGTTTCTATACAAATTTATTGGGGTCTGAAAGTTTATTCCATAGTAACAGCAAAGGTTTTTTTAAAAAAAACGAAATGGATTTGTGTGCTGTCAGCAAGTACTGCAATATGGTTAGATAGAACTGTTTAATTACATTTATGCATTGAGCCATGTATTTATTATGTAAATATATATCTATATCTATCTATCAATCTATATCCATCTATATCTATATATCTGGTATTCAGCTTTGTTCGGGTATTTTCCCACGTCATTATAGTTGTGCTTTTAAAGTTGTAGCAACGTTTCGGCAGAATCTCATCGGCCATCATCAGGCTTCTGTATTGTGTTCGTCTGTGAGTCAACTTTAAAAGCACAACTTTAAAAGCACAACTATAATGACGTGGGAAAATACCCAAACAAAGCTGAATACCGTAATATAAATACCAGCGAAAACTTAAGAAAACATCTATATCTATATCTATATCTATATCTATATCTATATCTATATCTA